GGTTCCAAATTCAGTCTTCCTGTAGCACTGTCAAAGATCACTGCTACTCCCAACTCGGGACTTGCCAAATGGGTTTTTAGTAATTCCGGTTTTTTGGATTTATTGCGCCAAAGCTCCTATTCGAGATGGTGTGACCAAGATTACAGATATCTGGATCTAACCAATAATCTTAATGTTAACCGATACAGATCTAAAATTTTCAAAATCGTCGTCCATGGGATTCGAACTCTAGACTTGCTGTCTGGGGGTGTAACAACTCCACCACTTCACTAAGTCGCCACACCCTAAATTTTTTTTTTTTTTATAAATATTACAATTTTTAATAGTTTATAAAAGCTTTAGCTAAAGCATTTAATAGTATTTAGTAGCACTTAGCACAATCAAATAAAAGTTTAATAGTCAAATACTTGTTAATACTTGTGATTAAGTTAGATATCAAATAATTTAATAGTATATATTTAGCTTTGGTTAATCTGCAATTATTTGATATTCGATTTAAACATAAGTATTTGACTGTCAAATTTTTGTTTGATTGTGCTAAGCACTAGTATTTAGGTTTGTAATTGCTTTTGAAATACTGTTTAATTATACTAATATTAGTAGTAGTGTTGTATTTTAAAGTATAAAATACAGATAATAAATTTTTTATCTAAAGATAGTTTAAAATAACTTCAAATAAGATATATATTTTTATTATGCTTGAATAATTGTTTTTTTTCCTTAGCATTGTTTGTACAAGATATATAGTATTAAAGATATAGAATTTTGTATATATAATATGATATGATTAATAAATTTGAAAGTTCTTTTTGCTTAAAGCAATATTTTTATATTTATAAATTAAAAAAAATATATATATTGTAGCTAAATACAACTACAACAAAAAAAAAACAATTATATACTGTATTACAACTAAACAAATAACTATAAAAACAAAAAAAAATTACAAAAAAAAACATTGTAGCTAAACAAATTGCAAAAACAAAAAAAACAATTACAAAAAAACAAAAGAGAGTATTTGAAGAATTTTAAACTAAAAATATTATAGCCTAATATAATTATACAGTAATATAATTATTTAAGCAATTAAATAAATATATATTTCATTTAGCATTACTATCTGCATATTTTGATAATAAATAAATATTTTATATTTATCTTTTATGCTTTGCTATTATTGCAAATCAAAAGATAAACAATTATTAAAACAAAAATTAGTAATAAAAGATTTATATAATTATACTGATTATTAAAAAATAGAAAATTAATCAAAGCTATCAATTAGTACTTACTAATATTGTAATATTATACCACAATTATTAATCAAAAGCAAAAGAAAGTAATAAAAGCTATCAGTTTTTACTAATACTATAATATTACGCACAAAGCTTAAAAGCAAAAGATGCAATTGTAATTTTAACAACTCACCAATTGGAAATACCTATCATCGAAACCAGAGATAGGCAAGTTATTACATAAAAAGTTAAATCACATTATGAAACAATTTACCAATAATATATACTTGCAACTAATAACATACTAAAGTGTCACATCATATAATTTAACTTTTTACATAATAATTAAATTACCTTGCCCATCTCTAATTGACTCTCAATCAGTGAATTTTATTCAAAGTACCGCCATTTATAGAGTATCGTTATTTATTTACATTTTATCAAAATATAGTATCATACATTGATCTTGTAAACAACTATATAGTCGATTAATCGATTAATTGACTAATCGATTAATCGATTAGTTGGCTATAATCGATTTTTAATCGATTTTTTAAAAAATTTTTGACCAACTAATCGATTGCATTTTTTGGTCCGATTTATAATACTACCTACTAGTCCCTGGCACAAACTAGTTCCCCGTGGACCACTTAACATCCCTACTCAAGACCAGACCAATCCGGACCAGTCCATCTTACAGCTATTTTTATTATTTCTGGAACAACTTATTATGACCGAATCGATAAGATTCGGTTGTCCCAGAAATATAATATAAACTATAATAGACAAGACTAAGGACTGAACAAAACCGGACAAACTGGCTATTAACATCCCTAACTAATAGTGACAACAATGATTTGTTGATATGATACTTAGAATTTGTTTATTACGTATTAACGCTTTAAAGGGTGCCCGATGTAGCTATAAAATTGCGCATCTAATCCATCTTTTTTCGATTGGTCGAAAAGATTGTGTTGATATTAATCTTAGGAGTTATGTTATTTTTAAGATCTATGCAAGCATGTAGGTGGATAAGGAACTCCAGAAGGGACGGAATCAAAGGACTTTGGATCCTAAACTAATCATTAAAAATTTGCCTCATATCGGGTGATTTTTGGAATCATTAATAATTTCTTATCTATCTATTCATTTTACTATCAAATGTTCGTCTCGATGAGGTGATTCTAATCACAGGATCCACGATTTTGTATTATTTATTAGTAATTTTTATGAGTACCAAAAAATGGCTTTGACATTGAATAACTTTTGTTCCACTGATCCGTTTTGAGTGATTTTACCACCAAAATGTTCCTCTCGATGAGACGATTCTAATGAGCTCAAAATCGTTAAAATTCGATCACAGGATCTCTCGTTAAAAATTAGTGAGACGCATCTTATTGCATGGGGTTTTATACAGTACAAGTCGCACTGAAAATAATGAATTTCGATACTGTATAGCAACATAATCTATGCCATTAATCAGAGAACAATGTCTACAGATACTTATAAGTTACATCCAGAGCTCGCTATATGCGTAAAAAGGTTCGTCGTAGAATGTACAGTATCATTGATGTTTTCCAAGTTTTTGAATTTTGTAGTTTTGAACTTTTGCAAGTTTTTTAAATCGATATCGATATAACTGTAATTAGTAAGCATTTGTAGATGGTTGTTATTTAGGTTGTTATGGCTACCTTTCTTATTTACCACAAATGATGAAATTTTATTGCAACATATAATATTTTAATACGAAATTTCCTTTGGATTTAGACTCCAAAATTAATAATGACGAAAATGTCAATTAATTTCTCGGCTAACGTTAGATTATCGTTATCGTAGTACATTTTTGTGATCGCCGCCATAATATGATGGTATGAGTTGCAACTTGTTGATCCCTTTAACTGTTAATTAAATATTACCCTATTCCCTCGAATCCAATATATTATCATATTGTAAAAATGGTTTCTATATCCAAACTGCGCAGGGAAGAGCTGACAGAAATCATTGCTCAAGAGCTACACATAGATGTTGCATTTCCTTGTTTTTCTGTTAAAGAACAGTATGGCTCTACTGCATGCTGCGTGGTGGGTATTATCAAGTATAAAATTCCAAAATTTTCTTAAAATCGTCTTTTTAAAAGATCGCTATTTAAACAAAAATCATAGGTCCATAAACACTGGCTTACTAGCCTGAGGCAATCCAAACTCGGTGAAATCACCAAAATCAACAAATACGTCGCCACTCGTTCTTCCTTAAATAACAATTCAGATCAAACTAACGATCATCAAACTTCGACGACCAATGTACTAGTTAGTGTGTATTTAAAGCGATACTCATCAGACTCCAAAAATAGGTTAGTTTTATCTATTAGTCGATAATGATGTTGCCGACGTCCTTCCAGAATCTTACATAAATTGTTTTCTCAGTAAACCGCAGTTATATGCTCGGAATCCATCTGACAGCGGCATTAATTACGCTTCATCCAATTTTAATGAGCGAGCTGACTTACCTTTAAGGTATTTCCTTAAAGAACAACTTGAAGGAAAACCGATACTTTTGGCTGATATTGAGGAACAATACAATAATTATACGCCTATATTCTCCAATAATGACTTTCAAAATCCTGAAAATTTGTCTGAATTAGAAGTTGAACTGGCTAGGCAAAAAGTAGATTTTTTTTTATATTTTTACTTTAACTTAAATATCTTGTTATTCTTACTAAGTTTTTATCGTTATAATATCAAAGGCATTTGTGAAAAAATTTATAGAAACATTATATCCTGAGAGTGCTTATTTTCGAATTGTATCGCAACCTGAAAGTGATGGTGAAAATGATAGTGATACATTATTTGTAGAAGCTGTTTCTCAACCTGACTGGTCCTCAGATATGCCTATAACGACGAGTCCAAACATTTTTGATGTTTTTGCTGTATTGGAATCTGAGCATGCATATTATTTCATGGCTCCATATCGTGGCACTACTTTAGAAGACTTATTAAAATATAGTTCTGGCGTATTGAATTCTAATGTAAAAAAAACTTTTATCCTATATCAATTACTAAGAACTGTTCAGAGTCTTCATATGAAAGGTGTTATTCATGGAGGGTTAGCACTAATTTATTTTTCTACAGAACGTTTATATTATAATTAAAACATCCGAATTTAACACTTAATATTATGTAGGCTCAAGCCATCTAACATTCTTGTGGATGAAAATCTATGGGTAACGCTTACAGGATTTGAATGCTCCATTCCAAGAACTGAAAATATATCGGGTTTGTATTTTTGTATATTTAATTTGATCGCATGATTGTAAGTTTTTAATAATGTCCATAAAATAATATATGAAAGTTTTTTTTTCTTAATATAATTAGATAAAACAAATCAATATATGAGTAATGATTTTGCTTTAGAAAATATTCCAAAGGGTATATAGTTGTAGTTTATATATATATATAAATTATTTATAAATTATTGTGTATAGTGGAAATTAAAATTATTACAAAATAATAGAAATTCAAGATGAATCTCTCACAATGAAGTGGGTACATGGAAGTATATCAAATTTTGATTATATAATGGCATTGAACTATCTCGCTGGTTAGTAGATAATTTATTTGCTCAGTTTAAAATATAAAAAACATTATCTTATAGAACTGGTTTATACACAGGCCGAAGAATTGGTGACCCAAACTTTCATCCAATTTTTCCATGGATTACCGATTTCACCGGTGCATCTGTTTCTGAAAATTGGCGGGATTTTACAAAAACGAAATTTCGTCTAAACAAAGGCAAGGCAAATATAATTCAGCTGTTAAATAGTTTAAATTATTGTCCCTTATTATTTGTGTTTCAGGTGTGAAAATTGACAACACTTTTATTATAGGTGATGAACAATTGGATTTTACATATGATGGTCCAGTGCCTCATCATATCACCGATATTTTATCTGATATCACTTATTATGTGTATCTTGCTCGAAAAACTCCCATTCCGGTTTGTTATCGATCCTTATGAATAGGTAGCTTGCTTTATCATTGATGCATCATCTGATCGAAGTATTTTATTTGTATAGGTGCTATGTCAATATGTAAGAACGAAATATGAGCCGAATGAATATCCATCCTCATTACAAAGATTGTTCGAATGGACTCCTGATGAATGTATCCCTGAGTTTTATACAGGTCTGAAAATGTAATATTTTTTTGCATTAAATGTCATATATTGAATGTAGGTCAAATAATTTCTAACTATTAAAGTATTATTTAGATCCAAGTATTTTTACTTCAATACATCCGGACATGCCAGATTTACAACTCCCAATGTAATATTTTCGTCTTAAAAATTACTAAATTAATGGCCCTAAAATTTACAAGAGAAGGTTTTAATGTTAGTCTGGCTAATTTATTTAACAGGTGGGCTTCTTCTGCTGAAGAGTTTATATGCATTCATTCTGAAGCTTTAGAGAGCGAATACGTATCGAAAAATTTACATATTTGGATTGATTTAACATTCGGGTGTAAGCTGAGTGGTAATATACAAGTTCATTGACTCTAAATACTCACTCCATAATAATAATGTGGTGAGGTTGTTGTGAATAACTTATTGAATAACTTATACATAGATATTTATAGATTCCGGTTATATATTACTTGATAGGTGCTGACGCGATTGAAGCAAAAAATGTTGCATTACCACTTTTGGATGGACAAAATTCTTTTATGAAGCACGGGATCACTCAACTTTTTTCGGATCCTCACCCTCAGAAAATTGTGACACCTGACAGCAATAAAATGTATCTTTTAGATTCTTTACATGATTAAATTTATTTTTAAATAATGCATTAATTATTTATTTTATATTTTTTGTTTAGACCTTCTGTGAATATTAATGACAATATGGCGTTGCTAGAAAAATATGAAATCGTCTCGAGTAAAAGGCGAATACAATTCAAGCCTACTGATTCGAACAAACAATTAACTGATGTTGTGGCAGATTTATTGGGATCAGAAAAAGCCATGGGAAAATATCAGACCGTATCTTCACGATTAAAATCACCCAAATTAGCTCCTACTTCAAAGCAATTATCGTTGCATGAAACTGTTTCATTCGATGAGAAGGATCCGAAAGACCCCATTGCTCGTGTTGAAGCATTATCTGCATATATTAATTCTTTCCCAATACATTTACCGGATGATATCGATAATGAACATTTTATCGAAAGTTTGAACAATTTTGAACAAGCACACTCTTTTTCTGCAAAATACCTTCCCCATAAATATATAAAAAATGAATTTTCACAAAATTTTGGTGATATTCAGAGTAATAAAACATATTGTCGGAAACAAAGCACAATAAACGAAGTGGTTGAATCATCTTTTGCGTATGGAAGAGCATGGGATGCCTATTGTCTTGGAGAAATCATTCAAAATATACATTCCGCTGTAAAAAATGATGCTGGAATGTCAACTCTTTCAGCACATCAACATCAGAATGAAGTGTATCCAAATGATTTTTGTAAGGTATTTCCCGGAATAAAATTTTTAATTTGTCGCATTAAATTTTTTCTTTTAGCGTGAATTACAAATATGAATTGAATTTAATATTCATTTATGCTTAAGTTACCTCTTTCCGTGCAAAAAGTTGTGTCATCATTAATGTCTCCAAATTGGAAACAACGACCTTCGATCGATGCTTTGCTTTATTCATCCGTTCCTGTTCTGGGTTTATATGATGAGGGTTTGACCCTACCATTGCCGGAATGTGTTCCTGAAATCTATGAATTCTTGACCGATTTTCATAGGGTGTAAGTTCAATGATAATTCATGCAATTATTTGCTACAAAACAAGCATAACGATATTAAATATTATTTTACTTGTCGTAATTCATTACAGAGACTGGATTGGCAGATTAAAACTTACAGAACATTGGATGGATAGACTTTGCAATCTTATCGATGAGGTATGACATTATAAAATACTAAAATTATTACAAAATAAAGCTATTTCTTATTTATGAAATTGAATTATTTCTTTAACATATATTAGGCTTTTTTCATGATTTTACCAAGCATAGTGTTAATGTTTACAGTTGACATTATAAAAATTGAAGCATTGAATATTTTTTCAAGTCTCGGACGAAGATTGGGTCAAGATGACACAAAGACTTACCTTTTGAAACCAATAATTTCTTTATTTGAAGTATATCGTTTTCTAATATATAAATAACTTCTTATTTGCTATATATAATTCTAAATTATAATACATTCTGTTTGTAATTTATTTGAATAGTCATCACGTCCGTCTATACCTAAAGCGTTATTTCATCCCGCCATTGTTGCAGAGTTTGTGTACCGATTTGGCATTACGAATTTCTTGCAACAACTTTTCCCTCTTTATTTAGAAGCACTAACTGTTGAAGATAATATTTCACCCTATGATTTTAATGACGCAAAACTTTCAGTTGTACAAAAATCAAATTCTTTAAACGGTAGTATTGCAAGCCCAGCTTCTGCACCTGACGATCCATCAAGCTTGGATCATGCATTACCATTAGTGGCACAGTTTGCGAATTCTGCTTTAGTTGACATTTGGTGAGGTCGATTTCTAATTTTATTTGTTTCAATATTTAAAACCTTTTGATAACCGAATATAATTATCCCTTAGTACACTTATAGGGCCTATTTTGGCATCTAAACATATAATGAGACAAATTTACAAATTGTTACTCAAAGAAAGTTCGACATTACCCTTTTTGATGCAGTCAATACTTTCAATTGGTACAAATATTGAATTCTTTATATGTTGAAAATTTTTATTATTACTTAGTAATTTATGATTATTCTTTAGGCAATCAATTTGGTGAAACATTTACTCATTTGCAATTCACCCAAGTTATTTCAGTGATTCAGCAATATAGTTCGTTTCCTATGAACAAGAGAAATTATTCTATATTATGTAATCATTTGTTTCTCCTGGAAAAGGTTTGTCATACGTATTTATATAAAAAATTTGACATTGATAGTTGCAATTTTATATAATACTTCCATTAATTTATACACTAATAACATAGCTCACCACATTAATGCCAACGCCTAAAGTATTAGCCGAAATGGAATCTGGATTCTCTGATACTTTAATAAAACTTTTAGTTCAATTCAATTATGATGATTCTCTTAATCAAAACAATAAACCTGCAGGAAAAGACTCTCTTAAAGGCACAATTAATATATTAAAAAATAAATTATCTATTAGTATGAAAAGCGCAGAATTCTTGCTGCATGTTTGTAATAATGTTGATAAAGCAGATTGGGAGCGTAATGTAGGTCAAACCTGATATTCATAACAGCATTTATTTTTATTTTTATTATTACTATTATTTACCAAATTTTGTTATTTATAGATTGCACCAATATTACAAAAATATTTTGAAACTTTCGAAAAATCTTTAGAAAGTTTGGGCATGGAAGAATTCGAGCAAGAAAGGAATAAACAGGTTTGAGTTAATCGTTCTTAATAAATTTGTTAACAATGACAACATTTATTTAACCTATTTTAATATTAGATTATATATACATACTCACAATTATGTATTCTGTTTGATCAAGAATCTGTACGGGAAGCTATTCCTGCTAGGTTTGCTACGATGAATTTATTACGATATTATTGTTGTCATTAAATATTATTTAAATCTTAATTGTTTTTTAATAACAATTCAGTGAGGCAATTGAGTATGCAATGATTGGTTCATCTAAACTAAGTGTTTTATCATTTTCGCGGTCACCAGTGCGGTCACCACCCGATAATCATTTCTCCAGTGATCGGGTTAGCATCGCATCAAGAGCATCATCTCAAGATAAAGGTGCTAGCACCACAAATACACCTAGATTTATTGTAAATTTAGAAGATAAAAAGCATCTAACTTTAAATACTGGCATCTTACCGACAAAAGAAGTTACAACTACAATCTCAGCTACCACTACGTCGAATAAAACTTTTACATTATTTGCAGGTGAAGGTGCTAGTAGAAAACTATATGATATTAATCATCAAGCTGCTAGTGGGGTGTCTATAAAAAATGTTGCCTCATCTGTGAAAAGTAATAGTTTACCAAGTGCCGGATCCGCTAAAAAGTAAATAATTTTTATGAAATAATTGTCATGAATAATTTAATAACAAATTATCTTTTTAGATCAAAATTGAAAGGAATTAACCTGTCCTGGAGAACAAAAAGCTCATCTAATGAAGACTTAAAGTAATCTTCCTTTAATATTTAGTGTTTTTTTTTCCTCCTTATTATACTGATAATTTTAATCAATTTATATAATGTTAGGAACTGGACCCGTTTTTTATCAACAAATTCAGGTACTATTAATTTAATTTTATCAAGCATAAATCATGTTTTAGGATTTTAATGTATTTGCATGCTTACCTTGATAATAATAGAAGAAATGTCAAATTCATTACAATTTACTTTTAATGACTTGAAGCTTCGCACTTTTTCTGGTATGTTTAATTAAAAATGTGACTATTTATTTAATAATTATTTATGGCTTATACTATATTTATCTTGTCAAAATAGGGCACTCATCAGCTATTCGTTCCTTTGACGTTAATGAACATACTCGACTAATAGCTTCTGGTTCAAAAGATCGCACTGTAAAACTTTGGTCACTAGATTTTCATAATGGAATAGAAAATTCTGATAATGAACCATTTTCTGAATGTTTGATTACATATAATGGACATAGAAAATCTACAATTACCGACGTTCATTTTATTAGTGGACGAGGGGGTGGTTGGGGACCTGGAGATATCATTGCTAGCAATGATGGACAGATTCATGTAAATATTATATATATGTATTTATTTATTTATTTTTTATTTATTTTTTTTTTTTACTAATAGTGTTATGGTTTATTTATAGCTTTGGGATCCAGAAACTGGACAAATATTACATCAGTATAGAAATGATAGATCTCCATATTTATCTGTCAAGCCGATATTTAAATCTAGATCTCTCGTTGGTGGATTAAAAGATACTTCAATCGCGTAGGCTTTTAAGACTTTAAACTTTAACTAATTGTTTCTTTAATATAAACCATGGATTAAATGTTTGCTGTTTATTAAATAGATTCTTTGATACCACGACTTATAGCCTTTTGTATTCTTGGAAATCTTGCCCTGCGTTTGCTGGTTTGTTAATAATTAAACAATTTTAATTACTTTAAATAAATGTTAACATATAAAATTTATTTAGGCGACATACGTGTAATATGCGTGAGTCCATCTGAAACATTAATAGCAATTGGATTTATTAGTGGAGTAATATCGTTACTAGAGTCAAGGACTGGTACACTAATTAGAAGTTGGAAAGCTGGTGACACAGAAATAGCTCATGTAAGTCATATTTGCAAAGTATAATCAAATTAATATATTATTACATTCTTTAATAAACTTTTTCCCAATGAAATATAGATGAAATTTTATACAAATAATTATCTTGTATCGTGTGCACCAGCTGACCATTTGATTTGTATATGGGATACTAATACTGTTTCATTGATTAATAAGATTCGAGGTAATTTTATTTATTTTTCGTTGGTTTTTGTGCTAAAAATATAAATTTGCTCATTAAATTTATAATCATTATATCAGTTAATTCCGACATTGTATCACTGAATTTATATAAAGATGAAGTTATTACTATTAATAGTAGTAACGTTATTACATTCACTCCGTTGAATGATAATGTGCGTCTTTCAATTCTGTTTATATGTGTCTATATTTTAGTCTACTCTATAATTGATGCTGATTTTGATTTATCTTATTATTATTAGTACCAGGCATATTCATCAAAATTCAAAAGTTCAACAATCAAATCAATAATTACAAACTCGGAAATTTTACCTATTAATCAACTTATATTGTTGGGATGTTCAGAAGGAAATTTGTTTTTATACGCTTAAATAGTTGGATTTATCTAACGGTAAACGATAATACCGCTGTAAATTGAAAATGTTCTGATCCCGAACATAGTTTAATCATTGAACTACTACGACTAAATAAATGCATTCAACAAAGGGCGAACGCGTAGAGATGATTTATTTTTTTACCTACTTGCTTTGTCTACTAATTCGTTCGTTATATTTTTAGTAAATGTGCAACATTGGTTTTGTTAACCTTTTTAAATTCTTGAATTGAAAAGAAAAACTTAGAATCTGAACATGTATCTTGAATTTATAATATACAATAAAGCTCGAAACATATATAAAAAAGAATTTTAGTATTAGTAGAATTTCTACATGGCTGCTAAAAATTGTAATTGAGATATTTATCTTACATATTATTTGGAGAAATTTCTTTATATGCTTTCTTGGGCTTTAACTCACTAAAATTCTGGGTGCTATTGGAATCTGATATCATTATCAAATTTGAAAGTCAAGAATTTAAGTACTTATATTTTGAATTTTTCTTTTGAAAATGCTAGTAAGCGAGAATTTGAGTGCTGCCAAGAAAACCTATAAGTACGCTTTTAAATTTCATTCACAAAAAGATTTACAGATTTTTCCTTAGCAGCACTCATTTATGAAGTTTATCAGTCAGAAACAACAGAAGTATAGAAGTTTTTTATTCATTTATATAAGAGCTATTAATATATGATACTTAAATTATAAATTTAAATTTTTTAATTTAAAAGTGTAATTTGTGCAAGCAAAGCCTATTAAACTCAAAAAGGACTTTACAATTCATATCGATGGACTTGCGGAATTGGTCCTGAATTGATCCTAAATTAGATCCTTAAAGTTATTCGCAAATGACCCTGAATTTTGTAGCAAACAAATACATATAAAGATAATTTAAGGGGTAGTAGATACAATCACACTGTTATTGTATCTATTTACCTCTTAAATTATATGCTACAAAATCTTTGGATCATTTTGCGAATAATTTTGAGAATATAGCTTAGGATCATTCAGGATCAATTCTGCAAATCTGCCCATATTTTTTGCATTTAAAACTAAGCTTCAACGAAAGTTTATTATTGCCTTTATTGCCTTTTAAAGTATCGTTTAAATCAATAAGAAAATTTTCATGAAAATAAAGGATGTGCTGTTGATTACGTAATTTAAGAGAGGGTTAACAGTATATCATGCCTATATGTTAAATATATTATTATGATTGGCTTCTAATTTGATCGCCACTTTACAATAAAAGAAATTCGTAATAAACGGCATTTCTTTAAGTGACTAAAAAAGATCAACGGACGGTGGGCCTAAAATTAGCCAATCAATATATTAAATGTAATATTAAAATTTTAGTATATAGATATATATTATGAATAAGTTGATTCTTAAGAATATTGAAGCTTAGGATCCACTTAATATTAATTATCTTTTTTTTTTACCACTTTGAAATTTTCTTTTGAACCTATTACGATTTATTTTTTTATTTTTTAAAGGAAATTTCTATTGTACACTAGTGTATAAAACATAGTACATATGATAACTCAAAATTTTGCTTATGAAGCCATTCTTTGGGCTCAAACGAAAAAATCTTGAAATTTTGAATAAACTACTTTTAACAAAATAAGTTTAGTTTTTTTTTTTAAACAATTGCATCAAATTGATCTGCAAATTAAACTAGAGATTGGTATTTGTTGATCATCATACAGCTACCATTGGGTGTGCGATTATCAATTGATTAACAATGTGCCTGCAGGTTTTCTGAAATTTGAACAGAAAAAGGACGATTTTAATGCCCATCAGAGGTGAAATTCGGCGGGTGCTATATTTCAAAAAAACGTACGAACTAAGTAATTAAAGTCAGGCAGCTTAAGTAAAAATGTTCAGGACTTCTGAAAACGTCACAAGAACTGAAATCAGAATCTTATATCTAATCTACATTATGTAAATAAAACTCATCTTTATCCTAAAACTGCACCACCCTAATTAGAGATGGGCAAATCGCAGTTTTTTCAAAAATCCCGCGCGTCACGCGCGGATCACGCGCGTGATTCGAATCACGCG